GAGCGGGTGTACTAGCAACCCCGACCCGTTGATCAAGCCCATGCTCAAATGCACTCACGAGAAATGTTGTGACGCGGTTTGCGGATCATGATGGATGCACTTATGACATTTTTGCCATCAGTAGACTTTTGGTTCGAGGCGAGTCCTCTCTGAAATCATCGAGAACCAATCATGTGTCTGATAATCTTCATGATGCTTCAGGATTCATTTTTGTCGATGCCCTTTTTATTCCCCCTGATGTCTGTGATTTATCATCTTTTCTATCATTGTGCTCTGTCCAGTCATACTTGTTCTATAGTACAATCTACTCCTGCAAACTCATTAACTCCAACCACCAATTCGAAACAGAATGCCGTATAGTCAACCGTCACGTATCAGGGGAAGTAGCTGCAGAGTTGACTATATCATAGTTATCTTCCCTAGGCCTTGCATAAGAAACTATAAAACCGAAGCCACGCAGCTCGATCAAACCCCGTACCTACCGCTTCTTCTTATCATCACCATCAACCGTCTTAGTACCACCAACCTCCCGCTCTATCATCCCCCTAAACGCCCCCATCACCCATCTTGCAAGCAAGACAGCCACAGTCCCCACAACACACACATACCCCGCCGTGGGCAGCAGAGACCGCGGAAAAACATTCCACAGGAACGGATCGAGGATCACGTCCGCCAGCACAGGAGGCACATTCTCCATGAGCGCCTTGTCAAGCGAGAAGTAATCCGCCGCGGCCCGGATCCGCAGGAACAGCACCGCGTCGGAGGTTGGTGCAGGATCCATGGACGAGAGCGGGGGTTGCCGTTTCGCGTTGCGGATGAGGGTGTTTGAGGTTGAGGCGGCGAGGCGGGCTGAGGAGTAGAGGCTGATTGCGGAGAGGAGGGACGGATCTTCTATTGTGCTGGAGAGGGTGTATGTGTCCAGTGTGAAGGAAGTGGGTTGCTTTGTTTGGTGTTAGCGTGTGCCCGAAAAGGGGAGGGAGGGGTGCGTACGGTTGCCAGATAGCATATCCGGACTTCGTAGCGTTGGCCTGGGTTGAGGTTCTCGAGGAAGTACCATGAGTCTGTTCCTGGGGAGTCTGGGGTAGGGAATGAGGCGTTGAGGTAGGTTCGGAGGGTTGGATACGAGGGGGAGAGTCGCTCGAGGCCCAGGTCGTCGAGGGTGGAATCTGTTGAGGGGACGGGTGACGGTTGCGGGGCGAGGAAGATGGTTTTCTCGACGTTGGCGGAGACGAGGGGCAAGAGAGAGAGAAGAACAAGGGGGTTAAGATTCTTCATGGTGAGTATACTAGTGGTTCACTCGGATGTAATGTTGATGGCTCGAAAGTGGTTTATATGGCCATGTTCGGCCTGATATGAGATAAAGTAGACCTGAGAAAAGCTTAGCATATGATGTCTGATCAATCTAACTCCCCAGAGGATACATCTAAAAGAGCAGAGTACAGCATAGAGCACAAGGATGTCATATATCGAATACATTCTATATCAAATGCACAGCTATCAAGGCGTGTGTTTCGTCGCCAGTTTTGGAAGTCCCCGCAGCATTGGTAACACGGCATCAATGAATTGGCTGGTACTCCAGCAATACTATCAATTGCCAAATGAGATTGACTACATACCTTCTATTGAGCGACCTGTTCATGATTGTATTGAGATGAGGCTGTTGGTAGGACATCATCTTTGATATGGACGCCGTCATGTGTTCACGTGACTCTTATCAGCGCTGAATAAGCATTGTTGATCCTGGTCACGGGACTGCGAGCGAGACTCGGCGTCAGGCGGTCACGGGCCCTTCTCAGCCAATCACAGCCAGCAGATCCCAACGCGACCCAACGGACGGATCAACAACGAACAAGAACGCCAGCTTGGGGTGTGACAGCGCATTATCGAAGACCATCCTAGGAGTGTCCACAACAAATTGAACAGTGTGGTCGGTCTTTGTCTCAATTGATCATTCTTAGACCTCGATTTTCTCCCCTCCCTTCATCTTCTCCAGATTTCTTCAATTACCTCCTCCAGGGTTAGTATCCCCCCTTTTCTTCCCCCCTCTTGTTGTGTGCTGTGCTGCCCACCACATTTTACCATTTTGTAGTGTCCGTTTACTTACCCCTGAAACACCCATACAGCAGATCGTCTTGGGTTTTTTTCGTCCTTCATTCCCTCCTCCTCCACCCACCTTTCTTAATTTATCCTTTGTGAACGGAATTTAGTCAATCGAATTCGACAAAATGAGAGAAGTCATCAGTTTGAACGGTTCGTCTCCCTTCTATCTTCTTCGTTTGACGTGTTGTTTGTTTTCTGCGGTTCGTGTTACTAATGTTTTCTTCCCTGATACAGTCGGTCAGGCTGGTTGCCAGATCGCCAACTCTTGCTGGGAGGTATGCATTGACCACGAGTTCACCGGGTGACATTGCACAATAGGGAATGGAGGATGGAACATACATGGATGGTTAGACATTGGAGGGATCAGGCTAACTTTGGTGGTGTGATTCTAGCTTTACTGCTTGGAGCACGGCATTCAGGTACGTGAGGCCACTGATTTTCATCACAATTGGATGTTGTCTCTTCATACTCGACGCGTAGATCGACTGACATTTTGCTGTTTTCCAGCCCGATGGTTACTTGACCGAGGAGCGCAAGAAGGCCGACCCCGACCACGGATTCAGCACCTTCTTCTCCGAAACTGGTACGTTAGCTGTCTCCTTTCTCTCATAACGACGACCTTGGTCATCTGACAACATCGTAAAGGCCAGGGCAAATATGTTCCCCGTACCATCTACTGTGATCTTGAGCCCAATGTGGTCGATGAGGTCCGCACCGGCACCTACCGTAGCCTTTTCCACCCTGAGAACATGATCACTGGCAAGGAAGACGCCTCGAACAACTATGCTCGTGGTCACTACACCGTTGGAAAGGAGATGATCGACCAGGTCCTCGACAAGGTCCGCCGGGTCGCCGACAACTGCGCTGGTCTCCAGGGTTTCCTGGTCTTCCACTCTTTCGGTGGTGGTACCGGTTCCGGTTTCGGTGCTCTGCTGATGGAGCGTCTCTCTGTGGACTATGGCAAGAAGTCGAAGCTGGAATTCTGCGTCTACCCTGCTCCCCAGAACGCTACCTCCGTTGTTGAGCCCTACAACTCCATCCTGACTACCCACACTACCCTGGAGCACTCCGACTGCAGCTTCATGGTCGACAACGAGGCCATCTACGACATTTGCCGCCGCAACCTCGGCATTGAGCGTCCCAGCTACGAGAACCTCAACCGCCTGATCGCTCAGGTTGTTTCTTCCATCACCGCCTCCCTGCGTTTCGATGGCTCCCTCAACGTCGATCTGAACGAGTTCCAGACCAATCTGGTTCCCTACCCCCGTATTCACTTCCCCCTGGTCGCCTACGCCCCCGTCATCTCTGCTGCCAAGGCTTCCCACGAAGCCAACTCTGTCAACGAGATCACCTCCGCTTGCTTCGAGCCCAACAACCAGATGGTCAAGTGTGACCCCCGCAACGGCAAGTACATGGCCACCTGCCTGCTCTACCGTGGCGATGTTGTGCCCAAGGAGACCCACGCCGCTGTTGCTACCCTCAAGACCAAGCGCACCATCCAGTTCGTTGACTGGTGCCCTACTGGTTTCAAGATTGGTATCTGCTACCAGCCCCCTCAGCAGGTCCCCAACGGTGACCTTGCCAAGCTCGACCGTGCTGTGTATGTTTCCTTCCTTTTTCTTTTTCTTTTTCTTTTTCCTTTTTCCTTTTTCTTTGTTTTTACAAAGAGAGAACCAAAAAAAAAAAAAGTAAACTAACTGAAAATTTAGGTGCATGCTGTCCAACACCACTGCCATCGCCGAGGCCTGGTCTGCTCTTGACCACAAGTTCGACCTCATGTACTCCAAGCGTGCCTTCGTCCACTGGTACGTTGGTGAGGGTATGGAGGAAGGTGAATTCTCCGAGGCCCGTGAGGATCTGGCTGCCCTCGAGCGTGATTACGAGGAGGTTGCCGCCGACTCGATGGATGAGGAGGTCGAGGCTGAGTACTAGATGGACGTCATCACTCGGCAGGATTCCGAAGAATGGCTGTAGAGTTTGGCCGTCCGACTTGATGCAGAGGCTGCTTCTGGTTGTTTCTGTGCTGTTGTATTGGGGACAGGCGTTTGTCAAGGTGATATACCATGGACCTGCGCGACTCAGGTTGCATGCAAATACATAGGAGAAGAAGATTGGCCTAGCTCACAGACTATGTTTTTCTTTGTCTGATATATTTTTAATATCCCGAAGCAGCGATGAAATTTTACCCGCTCGTTCATATAAACAGCACATGGAAAATATGAGATTGTAATTACGTTTGATTTAGAAAAAAGCCATTGGAGGTTTATCGGAAGCTATGATCAAGCAGGCCACAATTAGGTAGAGACAGCCGGAACGAGAAGTGGACAGGAAGAAATGATAAGCAGACAACAGCAGGATGCCATGGCAGAAAGAAAGAAAAGATTTCTCTTCAGACTACAGATTATATCTAGGAGATAAGGTATATAAAATGGTTGATTGGAGTAAGCTGTTCAGGGACCGAGCTATGGTTGGGTTACTCCCCCCGGAACCCAAAAGGAAGCTAAGGGAAAGGACATCATCTCTCCCTCCCTCACCTCCACTCTCATCTCTCCTCCCAAGAGCGAAGCTCCATTTCTTGGTTGCCTGCTTGTCCTCGACTCTATTCTCTCGTCTCTTCCTACTTTCCTCGAACTTTTCTCTCTTAATATCATCGAACCGTCTGTCTATCAGTCCGCTCCCCCCTCAATTTCGTCATCCCGTCCACTCCGTTCCCCCATTCCCCTTACAATTCGGTGATCCATGCTCGTGGCATCACCTTTACTCTAGGTCAACGGCATTCCGCTCCACTACCTCATACGCCATAATTCAACGAGTGTCCGGGAAATTTGACCGAGGGAAGAGGGGGCGCACTCCTCCTGAGCTACCATCATGGCTGACAGTGGTAAGTCTCCCCACCAGCAATGGTAGACCAGGCTGTGGGTAGGCGAGCTCCTCAGGAGAACAACCGCCCCCCCGATCGAACTGCAACTTCTGCAAGCGCGACGGAACTGACGGAATGCCTTAATTATCTAGCAGCACGTCATCCCAATCTCAATTTGACACCTGAGGAGAAACGGGTGTTTTACCAGCTCTTTCAGGCCGCTGATACCACCAACCTCGGCGTCATCACCGGCGAGGTTGCCGTTCCTTTCTTCGAGAAGACCAAGCTTGCGCCGGAGACACTCGGATTGGTGAGTTGTGTTCCAAGAAATGAGTCTTCTCGCGCATGTCTGGCTGACTGGTCACCGACAATGTGTAGATATGGCAGATCGCGGATAAGGAGAACAGGGGGCTCTTGACTCCATCTGGCTTCGGCGTCGTTTTGCGGCTTATCGGACACGCCCAGGCTGGTCGCGCACCTACAGAGGAGCTGGCCCTGCAACGTGAGTGTACCCTGATGATCATTTGGCTACAAAAAAAAAAAAAGATGTGGAAGTAGCGCTGATGAATTCTATCTCTAGCCGGACCGCTACCTAGGTTTGACGGCGTCGTTGTTGAGCCTACATCTCCTACCGCTCGCGAAGCTGGTGCGACCAGTCCACCGCCGGCTGGTGGGCCAATTCGAGTCCCTCCGCTCAATCCAGAAGATGTCAATAAATTCACAGCGCTGTTTGAGAAGTCTGATGTGTCGAGGAGCGGGGTTATTTCAGGCATGCATCCTGCTTCTCAAAATGGAAAGAGATATAGCTCTGAGGCTAATCTTGCTTGCATTACAGGCGACATCGCCAAGCAGATCTTTGAACGCGCACGGTTACCGAACGAGATCCTTGGCCGCATTTGGAACCTAGCGGACACGAAGCAACGAGGCGCCCTCGATGCCACAGAATTCATCATCGCTATGCACCTCTTGACCTCATACAAGTCGGGCGCCATGAGGGGCATCCCTCAGACTTTGCCTCCTGGCTTGTATGAGGCGGCAGCGCGAAGGGGCCCGGTGCGAACCTCGGTGGGGTCCCGGCCTGGCCTCGACGTTCCTCCAGTGCCTGCCATTCCGCGACAATTCACCGGACCCCAGCGGACTCAAAGCCCTTTGAATAGGTCCCAGTTCGGAACACCGCTTACTGCCCAGTCAACGGGCGGAGATTGGCTCGTCACGCCACCAGAGAAGGCGCAGTTCGATAGCATCTTTGGGTCGCTTGATACTGCGAAGGCGGGCGTCATCACTGGTGACCAGGCCGTGGGATTCTTCATGAAAGCTCAACTGCCCGAAGAAGTCCTAGCTCAGATTTGGGATCTCGCGGATATTGACGCTGACGGACAATTGACAAAGGACGAGTTTGCGGTAGCGATGTATCTAGTTCGTTCACAGCGCACAGGAAAGGAGCCCTTGCCGCAGACGCTCCCTCCCGCTTTGATTCCTCCTAGTATGCGGCGTCCTACCACTGCGCAGGCGGTGCCGGCTCCAGTCGCAGCCCCCGCCGCGCCACCACCCCCAACTGTCCGGTCTGCTGCGGATGACCTCTTCGGTCTTGATGCATTTTCTGCGCCGCCTGCACCCGCAGCCCCTTCACAAGTACCCCAGTCTACAGGAGGCTCCAACGCGCCGTTCCAGACACCGGGTTCACCCACCTCCAGAGCATCGCCTCCAGTCAATTCGACGACTTTTAAGCCTTTCATTCCGACTTCCTCATTTGGCCAGAGTCTCCAGCCTCAGATGACTGGCGCTTCAGCCGGTGCCCCGCCAACAGTCCGCTCACCACCGCCTCCATCGGATGACCTTCTAGGTGATAACGACCCTGAAGAGTCCAAGAAACTCACACAAGAAACGGCCGAGCTGGCGAATTTGTCCAATCAGATTGGCTCGCTGGCAAACGAGATGCAAAACGTTCAGTCGAAGCGCACTTCAGCGGAGCACGAGCTGTCTCAAACATCGCAGCAGAAGCGTGACTTTGAGACTCGGTTAGCGCAAGCTAGAGCGATGTATGAACAAGAGGTCAAGAACTTCAAAGCTCTCGAGGAGCGACTAAATGCCTCCAAGGCGGAGACCAAGAGGCTGCAACAAGAATATGCGTTGATCGAGGGCAGCAGGCAAGATTTGCAGACTCAGTATGACCAAGTCTCCGCTGCTTTGACCGCAGACCAGCAGGAGAATGCGAGCTTGAAAGAGAAAATCCGCCAAGCTAATGCTGCTGTCGCCCAGCTTAAGCCTGCTCTCGAAAAAGCACGCTCTGACGCTCGGCAGCAAAAAGGTCTTGTCGCGATCAACAAGAAGCAATTAGCTACAGTGGAAGGTGAACGTGACAAGATTCAGGACGAGATAGACACACTCTCGAAGGAACAACCTCAAGGATCCGACGAGAGCGCAGCATCTGTAAGCGCTGGCCCCGCACTCGCCAGCCCTGCTCTGTCCACGGCCAGTCAAAACAACAATCCGTTCTTCAGACGGACGACTACGGGATCCAGCGACGGTCATGCATTGTCCCCCCAGGTTTCGAGCGAACAGCAGCGTGCTTTTGACAGCCTCTTTGGCACTGCCTTTGCTCCTCCGACCACCGCTACACCTCCCCCTCCCACTTCATTCCGCGCCGACTCTCAGCAGGCTTCGCTCCACTCTCCTGTAACATCCGGGGTACCGACCCCCTCCGTATCACCGCCACCTTCCTCGGTTGGACCCGTGCCTGAACCCCCGCAGTCTCGGCAATTCACCCCTAACGTTCTTCCCTTTGGCGATACACAGTCGATGACCTCATCTACTAAGCCTTCTCCACCAGGCAGCAGATTTGGTGGCCCTGAGTCATCAACTGTAGGAACTCCAGCCCCAGCAGGCGGCACCGAAATTTCCTCTGCCACTACCGAACAGGGGGCAGTACGGTCTCCTTTTGAGGAATTTGAAGAGTCGAAGCGCTTCCCCGAAGTTCCAGTCGCCCAGGGGGGCGAAACTGTAACAGCACCCACTTCGCCTACCGCCAACGAGAACCAGACGGCAGAAAAGGACCCCAGCTTCGATGAGCTGTTTGGCGGTCCAGCCCATCAGCGGTCGCAGTCTCAGAACGCGAATGATTTCGAAGAAGCTTTTGCTGCTATGAAGCAGGGTGCTGGGGCTCCCAAGGCTAATGGTACAGCTCCTGCCGCGGCCTCCGAGTTTCCACCGATCCGTGAGCTCGATGATGATGACGACGAGGACGATAGCTCCGATAGCGAGGCGCCCTTGGGTTTTGATGACAATTTCACGCCGGCTGTTCCACCCCAAGCACAGCAGGCATCTAAGCCGGACTCGATTGAGCCATCTCAACTGGCAGCGTTTCCCGCTCCAGGGTCTGTAACTCCGACCAGTCAACCTCCTCCCGCCGAGGCCCAGAAAAGCCCACCGAAATATGATGAAGGCGCAGAGAAGGAAGCATCTGGCGGTATGCCACCTGAATTTAACGGCCTTTTGCCGAACCGTGAAGATCCCACAGTCGCTTCGGATGCCCCTCATTCAGTGGAAGCAGGCACTGGGGCTCCGATTGTAGGCGGGGAGCCGCAGCGGGATGTCCCCGTGGCTGCACCTGCTTCGGCCGGTACCAAGCCCAGTGCTCCTGACTTTGAGGCTGCTTTTGCTGGAATGAATCTTGCCCCCGCAAATGAAGCGGAAGACGATGATGACGACGGCTTTGAGCCGTCCGACAATAAAAACACTGCGGATTTCGACTTCTCTTTCGACACGCCCTCGCAGCAGAAGATGGCAGTACCCAGCGGCAGCCCTGGGCATGCTAACCCCTCTGATTTCTTCAACTTTGATGAGCAGGTGAGCGCCTCAAATCATGGTACCGCCGTATCACCTGCAGCTTCCAACTCGCAACCGGCAACGCACGACTGGGAGACCCTCTTTGCGCCTCTGGACAATGCTCAAGGCGCCTCCACCGGCACCAATGGGGCATCGCAACCGGCAGCATCCGGGGATAGCAAACCACCCGGATGGGCCCTTCAGACAGACACTGGGGAAGACGACCAGATTCTTCAACGACTTACCGGTATGGGGTTTCCCCGCGAGGAATCGCTCGCTGCGCTAGAGAAGTTCGACTACAACATTGACAAGGTGAGTTCAGCGATCCTTCAGCTTGCGACTGAGACTAATTGACTTTTTCTGGTTCAGGCGGTGGATTTCTTGACCTCCAAGTCTTAATGGCCCTTCATTCCTGCACATAGTCCTTTCCACCCACTACTCCGTTTTCCTATGTTCTCCAGCTTGCCTGTATTTGATTCCATCTGCATGCATATCCGTCTCTACCCTTGTATATTCCCCAGCGGTGCTCTCGAGCCATGTCCACTATTTAGTGCACAGAGGCCCCGATATAATCTAGAACCTGAAGATGGAGTGGAGTGTACAGGACAGGACGGAGGACCTCAAGAAGTGATGAGAGTAGCCGTATGTCCTAAGTCGTTAGCCAGTCTAGATCCTAATTTCAATAATTCTCTATTTGAAGTAGCCTGGGTCAATCTTCATACTTTCAGAATAGGGTTGAATTCTAGGTTGTACAAGCGGAGCGCACATGGGTATCCATGCCCCGATCTTCTGATCTCATCCTACGACTCGAGGGCATTCTCTCCTAGAGTTTAGCTGAAGCAAAGAGAGCTATCAAGCCGCTGACCGAGTAATGGGCCTGATGGCCTTGGCAAAATGAGACCCGAGCGACTTGGACTTGAACGCCTCCTCAATCTCGTCGAGGGACTTCCCCTTGGTCTCAGGCATGAAGATGGCGCAAACGAACGCCGTAAGCAGCGTACACCCGCCGAAGAGAAAGTAGGCGCCGAAACTACTCTTCGAGAGCAGGATGGGGGTCGTCAGGGCAACCAGGAAATTGGTCACCCAGTTGCTGCCGTGGGCGAGGCTGGTGGCTGAGGCGCGGGTGCGCTGGGGCTGGATCTCGGCGGCGTAGACTTTGATGCCGATGGCCCAGGTGAGGGAGAAGATGACGGCGAAGAGGTAGATGCAGACGATGACGAGCCAGCGGCCGGGGCCCGAGGCGGGGTGGACGGCGTCGGCGGCGTAGAGGGCGCCGATGAGGAACATGGTGGTGCTGAGGCCGATGCCGCCGGCGATGATGCTGTGTCTGCGGCCCCATCTGTCGGCGTAGAGGAGGCCTGGGATGGTCACGGCGAAGATGACGATGGCGGAGACGCCGGAGGCGAAGAAGGTGGCGGAGGAGGAGGCGAGGCCGGCTTGTTCGAAGAGGAGCGGGGCGTAGTAGAGGACGCCGTCGATGCCGGAGAGCTGCTGGAAGCCCATGAGGAAGACGGCGTGGGCGGTGCGGGCGCGGACGTCTTTGGAGAAGATATCGAGGAGCTTGTGGCTGGACTGTTTGAGGGGGGGTTGCGGCGGGGGGTGTGTGTGTGTGGTGAGGTCGGGTGTTAGAGTGGTTGCCGGGCCGGCGGGGAGGACCTGGCTTTGGGTCCTGGCTTGTCGGCTCTGTTCGATTTCCACCTTCTCGCGCTCGGCTTGGCCGACGCCGAGGAGGTCCCATGTTCGTGCGGCTTCCTCGTGGCGGCCGTGGAGGGTCAGCCAGCGGGGCGACGGGACGAGGAAGAGAAACGAGACGGCCGAGAAGAGGACAGAGAGACATGCGAGGATGAGGTAGGGTGTGCGCCACGAGAAGGAAGACTCGAGACGGGCGGTTCCGTAGCAGGTGAAGAAGCCGACCACTAGGCCGAGGGTGATGAGCAACTGCGGACCAGTGGCCAATGCGCCTCTGACGCTCGTTGGGGAGATCTCGCAGATATACCTGTTTGTCAGTTAGTTGCATGCTTGCATGCGACTGAATGATAAGGTAATTGACGTACACGACCAGCGTACCCAGGTACAGGCCCTCGCCGATACCTTCAATGCACCTCCCGACAATGAACATGGCGAGTTGAGCCGCTGCACCTTCGATCGCAGCGCCGATACCAAAGATCAAAGCCCCGATGCTGATTCCTGTCGGTCTGCCCAGCCTATCTGCCAGGTAGCCTGCGAAGAAGGACGATACAGCCGCTGGAATCAGGATCGAGGAGACGATTAGTCCGTGGACGGATGCAGATTGGCTCCCGAACTTCGACAAAAAGCTGTCCATGACGGTGACGGGGCCAATGATGCCGGTATCCATCCTGTTTAGCTTGTCAATACAATCTTACTGCGGAACATGGCGTATGCTGGTGACGCCCTTACCCAAACAGTAACCCGCCGCAAGAGCAGAGGATACTAGCGAGAACATATCTCGGGGGCCTTTGGATGAGATTCATTGTCAAAGAATGAATGAGATGACGTTTGAAGTGCAAACAATCCGGCAGACTGCGTCAAGGGCGGAGATATATATCCTCCTGCACACTCATCTAAGCAATAGAGAAGGGACCCGAGTGACAGAAAAAAATTCTTCCAGTTGATCCAGTCTAGTCCGATGATCCAGCTGACCACATGGAGATGGCCCACCCCCACTGGGATGGATTGGATGGACGATGAGTTGCAACGCAGCGTCATGGGATATGCTCATAGCATGGGCGTATTTTGAGTGAGTCACAGAGGCACACGTATGTCAGTGAGACTGTCGAAGGCCGAGAACATTCTAAATCAATAAATCAATGCCGAGTCAGTGTTAATTGGCAGCTTGTAAAAAGTAAAAAGTTCCGGAGTGGTATGGCCCGAGAGAGAGAGAGACGAGAGACGAGAGACGGGAGAGAGAATGCGAAGTGGGGAAACTGGTAAAGATATATCAGGACGGACGACGACAGATAAAGACTGTGACGTTCCTTTAGAGGTATTGCATTCAATGATTGCTGCTTTACATGACAAAATCTTGCTGACATTCTCTTGGTCTGTCTTTCTTTGACTATATTTATATTTACCATAGACCGACTGTTCCTTCACTTCTTCATATCTATCGTGGTGAAAGGCATAAATATCCCCTCCCTCCCCCAACCTACCTGAATCTACATCTCTCCTCTTCTATCAATGGTCAATCCGCATGGGTTGCAAGTATGAAAGTTCATGAGCCCCTTTCTACCGTGGATACTAGTTGCGATCTTCGGCCTTTCAGTCTTGAAGTCTCAAGACCGAACACAGATCCGCACAAAACCAAGCATGCAATGAAATTCGGCGGCCCAAACAAGGCAACTGAAGTCTGGAGTTTTGAGCTTGCCTTGGGGCATTCGAAGAATGCTTTTCGAGGACGTCGGATCAGCTGACAGGCCGCCGTGCCAAAAAAAATCCTTCTTAGAAGGATTATCCCAATACTAACAACATGAGAAAGACAAGTGGGTGGTCTTGCACTCCCACATCCAGAATGTATGCATTCATTTTATTCCTTTTGAAGTATGCGTGGCTGATTTTGAGCAGAATCTGTGAACTCAAGACCTGAAAGGGAGAAGGTACTCTCTTCAATCTTTGGCGAATGATGGCTTTCCAGGGCGAAAACTCAAGCAGCGTGCTCATCCGGTCTTGAAATGTGATTTAGACAACATCTGCCAGTGAGAGTAAAGCACTGACCCTAGCTAACAAGTATCCATATTCAGCACAGCTGGTATAGTTTGTGCCTAAGCTCTTCAACCAAGGATACCAGGGCAGCAGGCCTTCAGGATGATCTATCTGGCTGAACGCGGCCGGCGAGAACCGCATGCATCCCATGTGGACTGCTTAGATATCTCCCGTATCGGTTGACATCCGTGAAGACCCGCAGAAAGATCTACTATCGATGCGCATCATGCAGTGCTCTTCAAGGTTGGGGGACACGATGCCACTAGTGTTGCCAATGTAGCAAGTATCCCCCTCCCGGAATGTTTGGATTGCTCTCAAAGA